GAGTCCATGCTAGGGGGGAAGCTGCTGCTGGTTTTTTTTTTCTTCTATAATTATATTTTATTAATTTTCATAAACATTTACAGAGATTTTGGGCTTCCACTCATTCATTGTTGCACTATTCTCTCTACCCTCCTCCCAGTTTGTTCTTGTCCAAATGCCACAGTGCTTGTCAAAGCCAGTTCTGATTAATCTCCTTTGTCAGTGTATCCTTTGCCATTCCCTATCACTCCTCCCTGAGAGAGACTTCACCCTGAGTCATAAGGAAAAGGGGACGGCGTATTCTCTTAGCTACTTCCTGCTGAAAAGGGACGCTGTGGGTTTCAGGGTGAAGATCTTCTCTCACTACTCTAAAGGGCCCCTTTGGCAGTAGGAAACACATAGACTATTATGGAGATTGATTTTGGAATTCAGATGCACTCTTATTGATTGTGCTTGGCTGTACATGTACATATCCTTCAAGATGTATCATGGGGGTGTTGCAACCTAGAAGACACAAATTTGACTAACAAGTTATAAGTACATGAGTCCAAAAATTATGGAAAAGTAAAAGAAAAGATTCTTTCATTGTTTTATAAACACTCCCCCTGGTCCCCTCCACCATGCAGCCCTCGCTCTAGTCTCCTGTGATGACAGAAATACCCAGTTACATCTCTCTTTTAGACGGTTCTCTCCCTCCTCTGTTTCAGTGCAGTATACATTATTGAACCCATCTTACTCAGTCTCTCCTCAACCCCAAGGACAGTCCCATTCTACAACAGTGGCATCATGTAATATTTGTCCTTTTGTGACTGGGATATTTCACTCAGCATAATGTTCTCCAGAGTCAACCATTTTGAATAATATTGCATGAGTTCCTTGTTTTTCAATGCAGCATAGTATTCCATTGTGCGAATATACCACAGCTTCTCTAGCCATTCGTTTGTTGATGGGCACTTAGGTTGTTTCCAACTCCTTGCTATTGTGAACAAAGCTGCAATAAACATGGGTGTGCATATATCTGCTTGGATGTCAGCTATGGTCTCTTCAGGGTGAAGCTGCTGCTGTTGTTGCTGTTGTTTGGTGCCATTGAGTCGTAGATGATGCATAGAAACCCTATGAACGAAAGGTCTGAGCATTGTTCAGAGAGTTTCCAGAGGCAAGCCACTACGGAAGTGGACGCCACTCCTGCTTCCAATTTTGTTGTAATCGGGGAGCTCCACCAAACACTCTCCACCATGGGTGACCATTATTGCATTTGACACATCAGTGTCACAGTGTTTAGCATCACGGCAACTACAAGTTACCTCTGTACAGCAATGCACAGAGCAGTGCTATACCACCTAGACGAATGTTTGACAAAAAAAGTTTGAACCCAGCCTGAGGGCCGCAGACTAAAATCACCCACCTTGGACTTGGTAGACATTAATTTCCTAGTACTCATGTATCTTCATTGGAATTAGGAGTGGCATCCACTTCCTAAACAACATGCCTGAGGAAACTCTGTGAACCTTGATAAATGTCGATAGTTGTAGAGGGGCTTCAGGCCTTTTGTTCACAGGGTCACTGTGAGTCGTGCTCAGAGACAATCGACAACAACAACAACCCTAGTTAAAGGTATGTATCTCAACTATAAAATGAGAACAACTAGCAGTTTCTCCCCTCAGAGAAAGTGGTGAAAACATTCAGGGGCGGTAAGCGTGAGTTGTCTTCGCCTGGGTGTGGGTGGGCTGTCTCCCTGCCTCGGCAGCGTCCTCTACCTTTCGGCTGCATGTCTGCGTCCTCCTAGACGGGTTCCCTCCTTCCATAGACCTGCAGAGTGCCTGCTGTGTCTACAGCGGAACCAGAGAGACACACGTCTCCACGTTTGTGTTACCCACTCGGGTGTCTTGGCCACTTGCCCTTCACAGACTATAGTGATAAGTAAGGGTTGGGGGACCAAAGTCTGAGCCCCAAACAGTCCTGCCTTTTTTTGGATGCCATGATACCAGCAATGCACCATCATTTCATATCTCCCCCAGTGCCTGTGACCCACGGCCCCTGCACTCTGCCATACTCGAGGCTCACAGCTCGAACAGCCCCGTTTTCTTACGATAAATTTGCTCATCTTTCTTCTTTTCCTGATACACTTCCAGGGTCCAAAAGTATTCTTTCTTCATCTTCAGCACTTACATTCTCCTCACAGGGAAGGCTCTCAGTAAACACTTGAATTCTGATATGACTGAGAGGCAGGTGAACTCCTGCAGCCTGAGGGCAAAGGAAGATGTGTGTTTTGTAAGACCAGCATATATGTTACAGCCGAAAGGTGTACAATTAGGACTTAGTGTTTCTCTGAGTTTCATCACACCAGGCTTTTCAAGTAAAAGCCAAAATTAGTACCGAGTGCCCCACACCTCGCCAGTGACCACGCGAAAGAAAAGCAGACTAATTTCAGAGCAGTGAAAAACGGCCTCCCAGGCCTTGTGGACGAGTACAGGGTCGATGACGCCTGCCACGCGCCAGGGTCTTCCCTGCCCGCCCTTCACATCCAGCGTGCCCTTCCGTCCTCACAGCACAAGGCCCCGTGTCTGGGATTAGCCTCTGGCTCAGCAGAGATAATATCTGATCCTAGACGGCAGAACACCAGGCCGAGGCCTTTCCCACCTTCGGTCTGAGACGGCCTTCAGGTTGTCTGTACGTGTCAGCCTGCGCTTGACGCTGTTGTTTTGTTCTTCTCCTGACTTCCTGTGATTATTCCTGTCCTACTTGTTTGTGTCCTGACTGGGCTCGTGTCATTGCCTGTCTTGGTTCCTTTCTTCCCTTTCCTGTGTATGTGATGGACGGTGGGCCAGTCCTCAGATACTGGACTGTGGCAATCACGATCCTTGCTTGAAGAAGTCCTGCATTTTTGGCTTGACATCAAAGCTGGAGGAGGCTTCTGATGACGGCGCGCACCTTCTCAGTATGTGACGTGACAGGACAAACGACTTCAAGCTCGTGTAATCAGCTTCTCAACTATTCGTGTTCGCTGCCTGCTCAGTATGCCAAGCTATAGAGTAGAATATTTTAGTTCCCAGGAATGACTCAGATCTTGTAGAAGAAGAAATGTAAAAATACTGAATTGGGAAGTGACAACTTCAGCAGGAGGCTGTGGGCTTCCTGAGGTCAAGGCCTCGATCCCAGAAGCCTCTGTTCTCCCTACTGGCTGCCCGCAGGCCCCCCAGGAGTAACAAAGACAAAGCCAAACACTCTTTTGGTCTTCTAACTTCCCAGTGTCGACTGTCATTTTGTAGAACAATGCAAGTTTGATAAAGGCTGTTTGACTTTTGTGAATATGTTAAAAGACGTGCTGACTATCCTCTCACTTAAATAAGCATGATTAATCAAAGTATGATATTCTTCGAGTTGTGCAAATCATATTTCCTATATAATGTCATATATGTCATAATGTCAATTTGCAAGATATGCTATCAAAAAAACCAAGGCAGAATATGAAAGCATGGAGAATGAGAGGTGTTTGCTATAAAATAGCATGGGCCTGTGACAAAAGTAATATTATAAAGCATTTAAACATTTAAATAGAAAAGAAAATTGGATTCGACTCTTATTTTTTTGCTTGATTTTTTTTTTGTCCACTTATTCTTTTTTTTTCCTTTTTCCATTTCCATTCATTCATTGTTAACACATCTTCCTCCCTGTTCCCCTTCCACCCCCAGTTCATTTTATCTTTGGAAAAAAAGTTTTTCCATTGTTATACAGTTCCCCACTCCCCAGACCACTTTACATGCAACTCATAGTCTGGACTTTTGTCATGCCAAGAATACCTAAACCTATGTTCCTTTTATACAGAACTCTACTCTTAAGGCAAGCATCATTGTTATACTTGTTTGAGCCATGAGAGAGGAACCTGGCTACCCAATTTTCCTAGTGATTTTTTTTTCTACTTACTCTTTGGCAGGACTTCAAACCCATTCCTCCCCGCTCAGTCATGCCAGTGAGTGAAACCAGGTCGGACTCAAATTTGTGAACCAGAATAATAACCGAAATAGCCAAAATACGGGGAGAAGCCCTGCTTCATTCTTAATCTCCATCTTGGCAAACAAGGGCCCTGTGCACGTTGCCTGGCAACCAAGTCTCTTGATTGGCAGAGTCAGAAATAACGATTCCCCTCCCAGGGAAGGTCAATGACCACTCTACTTTGAATGTGTGGTGTCCTCCTCGGCCCTGGCCACAGTCCAGTCTCCCACAGCAGGGTCTGGAAAGCATTCAACTCTCACTTCTGGGCGTCCATCCATCATCTGACTCATTCTGGTGATCTTTCTGTTTCACCCAAATTTTAAAGATTTGAGCCCCTTCTGATTTTGTTTCATTGGCCATGGCTAAGCCAGTTCAAGCTGGTTCAAAGCCCCACCGTTTGGTGAGTAAAAGAATTATTAGAGCTAAGCCCCGATTCCCTCTCTTGTCATTCCTAAGCTTTTAAAACCAGCCCATAGAATCAGGAACACGGACTCAAATTTGAGCATTTAAAAATCATTAATGAAATACATTTTAAATTGCATTTTTTGGTTGATATCTTCAGCAGTGAAGGGCATCAAGTGAAATCTGTTCCTTTTTCACACTGTTCTGTGTAAACTGATTTTCAGATGAAAACATGTTGGCTCAAGCGGTTGAAGTATTTAGATGGAAGAGATTCCCATGTCATGTAGTTGTGGGTTTTGTGAATATGACGGAAAATGGGATTGGAAAGCCAGATCAGATGTGTATGCCTAATTATTTGTAGTTGTTTCACACCAAAACCAACTCAGTTTGGTACTACTGCAGCTTTGAGGTTCAAGTTCAGTGTAGTGCTCGCCTAACTATACCTGAAGCATGAAAAAATACAACCTGTTAAACCCATCCCCCGAGGGTGCATGATTGCATTGTTTTCACAGAGGAATCAAACACATTTTGCTTGCATCAGCCAGCTTCTAGGGGGACAGTATCACGCACACGTGCAGGAGGGAGTCAGAGGGCTGTAATCCTATTTCTGGATGTTCTCTTTGCAGATGATTCAGTCCCTCAAGGCGGTGATTGAAAATGCAGATGCTGTCTATGAGAAGATCGTACACTGTCAGAAGGCTGGTAAGTACAAGTTGGGTTTCTTCCCTTTAAAACAAATTTGGTAGCATCCTCGCCATATTCTGCCCTGGCCTCTGAAAGAAGGCTGCCATTCCATCATTTTGGATTGCCTATTAAGCAAATCAGATATAAAATATTTTCTGTCATCTAAGGACAGTACTGATTCTGTGGTTCTCATCCTCGGATAACACATCTTTAAAGCTGGGTGAACATTTTCCGTGGTGAGGCCTGGGGATTGGAAGTGGGTCGTAAGCTCCAGGTGTTTGTAATGTGAAACAGATGGAGGAGCCCGGGACGCGTCCATTCCTCAGTGCGCCCTGGCCTCCCATACCTTGTACCGCTCTCCATGACTGTCTCATACGTAAGCGAAAAGGTAAGGCTTGAGGGGAAGGCTAGTCCAGAGAGAGACTGGCTTCTTCAGAAAGGAGAGTCTGCCCCAGCTATTACCTCTTGACACTTAAACCCTTGGAATTTTCATCTGTTGATAAATTTCTTATCCAAATGCTATACTCAGTCATTGCCGTGGCGTTGGGGCCAACTCATAGCTGACCGTCCAGCCCATTTATAAAGCTGCAAATCACACTGGTGGAGATTGCCCATCATTCTCCCATGCAAGGGCTGGTGGATTTGAACTGCCACAGCGGGGCCATGTTTGGGCCAGCAGCACAATTCCCCTCAGACTCCACCACGGAATTTCCCTAATATAACACTGGATTCTAAAATTAGATTCACATAAACAACCATCTAGCTAATTTTAGTGGTGGTTACACCAAAAAGATCAAATATTCTGTCTCTTAATAAGAAGAGACAAAATAGAATTCTGTCCATTTTCAAAATGTGTTTGAATGTTCAGTGGACAACTTTTATATAAAGAATATTTATAAACCACAAATAAGAATATTTGTTCTTATATCCTAAGGTTTTTGGAGGTGATTACTATTCTTTAAAGAATGGGGCTCGAGCTGTCACATAACCTGGGAAAAAGATTTCTTGTCATAGACAAGGACCCATTTAAAAGATATTGAAGACAAAGACAAATGTGACTTTGTATGTATACTTACTGAAGGAATATTTGCATTAGTCATTAATCAACAAACTCTAACACCATCCTTTTGTTTCCCTCTTCTCAGCAGCAAAATATTATTAGCAAAGTGATCTTCCTACTTCACATCCTTTCTGAGTTTAAACTCCTGTAATCCACAGCTACAAACACATTCCTTCAACAACCTTTACACCACACCCTTCAAACATCATCCCTTGAATCTCTAGTGACCAGTCTGTGCTCCTTACTGTCCATGCAATCGGCCTTCTCATTTTGACAATAATAGACTTATATTGCAGGAGTGGCATCCACTTCCTAGACAACATGCCTCTGGAAACTCTATGAACTTTGATAAATGTCGATAGTTGTAGAGGGGCTTGAGGTCTTTTGTTCATAGGGTCGCTGTGAGTCATGCTCAACTCACAGGCAATCATCAACAACAACCACAACACACTTCTGTTAGTTAATCCATCTGTTCACTCATTTAGTAAAACATTTGAACTTCTAATACGCATAAGGTCCTTGGTAGTATGTGTGTGTATATATATATGTGTGTGTGTGTGTGTGTGTGTGTAAATATACATATATGTAAATATATACACAAAATATAGATAAAATAAATAAGCAAGATTGGGTTTTGTTTATGAGAACTAAACAGGAGTGGAGAGTACCACATCCTTCCAGAGTGTCCGTGTCGTCAAAAGCTCTGACCCTTCTGGTGTGAATCAGGAGTATGAACATTTCCAAGGCGTTGGGAAGCCACTGATTTCTGAGCAGACAATGAGAGGATCTGGACTTTGAGATGACGAGGGAAGCAGCTATGTGCAGAATCTGTGGATGGGCTGTGTGCACTAAAGGTTCTGTTAGGAGGCGGTCGGCAAGAGCTGAGGAAGACACCTAACTTGGCCTCTCTGGGAGCCGTGAGGAAGGATGTGAGGTCCTCACCTTTGAACTGTCCTTCCACCTACCTTGTGAGTTTCTCCTTCATCACATTTCACCCTCCACTTCTCTGCCTGTCTGTATTTCCCTCTAATTTGTCTCACTTGTCTTCTAGAGCTTTCAAAATCACAGTATTTCTTTTAACCGGTGATTCAAAGGGCTATTCTAAGCTCTCCGATCCTTCCATTTGCTTCTTCAGCAACTGTCTGTTTTACTGACATGCTCCGTCTTCTAACCAGGTTAATAATCTCCTGTGACACCACACTGGCCTCTTCAGTTACACTCTGCATTTCCCCCTTGACATCTGTTCTAACATTCAGTACAGAACTGTCACCCAAATATTAACTGACTAAATGTGATTTGACTTTTATTAAGTATTCAGTTCCATTAAGTACATGTATTGCTCTGAGAATTGTGAACTATCAAAATATAAAAGTACATTTGTCGAGGGGGGGAGAAAAAACCCACCCTAACCTGTTTATTAATTCAGCATTTTGATGATTTATTGTGAATTCTTAGCAACGTTATTAGTTTAAGAAATCTGATCGTTTCCAGCATAATGTGCCTCTGTGTTGTTCTGGTGGCTTTTTCTAAGGAATGTAATTGCATTTGTGTTTAAAATGGAGCTGTATTCAAAAGCTGAAAATACCTATCTATTCGAGACTTTTATTAGGAAGAAGTGAAGAGAGCCACATGCGAAAGTTCATGTTGTTCTGGGTGTAACGATCTCTGTGTGTGGTGACCGCTGAACACCTACACAACCCTCTGTTATCTTGAGGTCTTATTTTAGGGCCCCTTGATCTTTTCTTTCTCGTGTTTACAGTTGTCACAGAAGCTTAGTCATATGAAGAATTGCTAATTTGTATCGGGCTCCAAAGACATTAGAAGATCTCGCTTTTGATAAGTGATTGTTATTCTGCTTGCAAAACCATAATCTTGGGACCACAAAGTGAAAAGATATGAGTCCCCAAAGTGCTGCAAACAAGGGTGACTTTAGAATGGTTTTGATCTTTAGAGCACAAATTTTTCTCCTTAGGAGCTGAATCTTCATTTATGCACTGGAAAGAAAATGAAGAGTTGGTCCCTCCACTTGGCATCTGGGTGGGCTCAGGCGGTGAGTGGGTGCAGCAGTGGACTTAAGAGGGAATTAGGAGTGGGAAAGAGGGAGTGCGGTGGGAGGGGAACACCTCACAGTGAGGACCCCTCGCCAGGGCAGCAGGGAACCTGCAGGCCCCTCACTGACTGTAGATGGCCCAGAGGGCAGCTCTTGGGGACCTTTCTTAAGTGCTGGAGAGCAAGGATGTCTGTTCAGAGACTGAAATGTAACTGGCTCAAGTCAGTATTTTCAGTTGCTTCATAACATGGTGAATGTTGGACGATGACTAAAGAAGCCTGAAGTGGCGATGTTGGAGAAGAATATTGACACTGCCTTAGACGGCCAAGAATACACACAAATCTGGAAAAAGTGTGGCCAGGCTGCTCCTGAGAGGCAAGGATGGTGAGCCTTCATCTCACACTGTGAACGTGTGGTCAGGAGGGGCCAGTCCTGGGGGAAGGACATCTGAGAAGAAGACCTTCAATGAGGTGGATTGGCACAGTGGCACAGGGAGTGTGGCACAGGATCTGAGTTTCAGGTGGCTGTGCTTGGCTGGCTATTAAGTCAGGGCCTAAGAAGACATCTCTGGAAGTTAAATGCGGAAGTATTTGAAAGTGGAGTTAAGATGCAATTAGACCCTAGAATGCTAAGGAATGACAATGTTCTGACGGTGGGGAGGATATGAAAAGCGGAGTTTTCACCCTTTTCATTGGCATTTAATACCTAATACTCAAAACGAAAATCATTTAAAAAGACTATTTAATGTAGAATGAATGAATGTTATACAAGTGTTCAGGTCTTTCATTCATAGGGTCGCTATGAGTCGCCTATGACTCAAAGGCACTTAACAACAACAACAGCAACATAGAGAGAGCTCAGTTGACAGAAAGTGATGCTACCAAACCAAAGGTGGGTGATTTTAATCTGCAGCCCTCAGGCCTGGTTTTAATTGTTTTTGGTCAAACATTCTTCCAAGTGGTATAGCCCTGGTCTGTCCACTTGCTACACAGAGGTAACTCATGGTTGCTGTGATGCTGAACACTGTGACACTGATGTGTCAAATGCAATAATAATCACCCATGATGAACAGTGTTTGGTGGAGCTTCCTGATTAAAACAAGCTTAGAAGCAGTAGTGACATCCACTTCCATAATAGCTTGCCTCCGGAAACCCTATGAACCTGGAGAAACGATGAAAGTTATGTAAGTGTTTAGGTCTTCCGTTCATAGGGTCACTATGCGTTACCTATGACTTGATGGCACTTAACAACAACAACATTACCCAACAGAGAAAAATTTGGGGCCACAAGGGTTGAATTTGGCAGCTTCTGGGGAGGGAGTAATAGTAATAATGCTGGTTCCTTGACAGCTCTAGGGGTTCAGCCGTAGGGAATTGTGCTGCTGGCCTGAGGGCCGTTCTTCTCTGGCACTTTGAGCCCACTGGTGGCTCCCAGAGAGAAAGAAGGGGTATCACGCCCCATCTGCTGCGGGGTCAGCAAGGAGTTGAACCCAAATCAACAGCAATGAGAGAGATTGATTTCGTTCCTTAATCTACATGCATCTGTGAGACTGATAAAAATAAAAAGTGCCTTTTTAAAAAAAATTTTATTAGTTTTAATGAACATTTACAGGGATTTTGGGTTTTCATTCCTTCATTGCTGCACCATTCTCTCTACCCTCCTCCCCAGTTTGTTCTTCTTCCCCGCCATCCGAATGTCTGTTTTAATTGTCCAATTGCCACAGTGCTTGTCAAAGTCAGTTCTGATTAATCTCCTTTGTCGGTGTGTCCTTTGCCATTCCCTATCACTCCTCCCTGAGAGAGACTTCACCCTGATTCATAAGGAAAAGGGGACGGCGTATTCTCTTAGCTACTTCCTGCTGAAAAGGGACGCTGTGGGTTTCAGGGTGAAAAAAAGTGCCTTTTAAAA